AAAAGTCCCCAGAGGTGATCTCGTCTTATGCTGCTCTATGTATGGAGCCCTAACGCACTGTTGTGTTCTCATTCACTTCTTTATGGTAAAATATTGCTGCAGACAAATAGATAGGATTTTAACATGGCTTAACTCAAATTAAATCCATGAGGGAAAGTTTGTGTTCAACTCAACAGCTTGCATTGGAGAGGGGCACAGGGAACAGGCATACAGGGAGGTAAGAAGTCCCTTTCCCCAGTGTTCTTCCCTAGCCAGGACCACAACCCAAGTGAGATTGCATGGGGACTGTGCATGTGACCTCCTGCTTCCCTGGTGTGAGATGCAGGAGAGTCTCAGATCCTCACAATAAGAAGAAATGCAGTTGTAGTGACTAGCTGTGCTATGTACTAAAATGAAAACCTGAGCCCCCCCTCAGCTGGGGGCTCAAAAAGGGTTGGCAGAACATTTCTGACCAGAGTGCTTGAAGACTGAAAAGCCTCTTGCAGGGTTTGCAAACAGCCCAGCAATTCTGGTAAGGAACAAGAGAGACAAAATATAGTGCCAAGACAAGCAGGATTCCTGCCCTACCTAGTGCTATGCAGTCAGTGGAGTAATTTGTTTCACCATGTAGCCTCTGAGAGGAAATGCTGGAATATGAAACTGCTAAAAAGTTTGCTGTAAGAGCTGGGGCAGCCAGGGAGAGGAGGTTGTTTGAGATCCCCATGTTGGAACAATGGTGTGTTTTGTGCAGGTGTTTCAGCAGGCATTTTCCTCTGTGGGCTGTGCTCAAAATGGTATCTGGGAAGCCAGCTCAGAACCCAACCTAACCATTCCCTAAATTTTCAGGGCTACTTTCTCTGGAATAACTTGTTAATCTTTTCCAGAAAAGAATGTTGGGAATAATTTGTTCTTTACAGAACTGAGGTAGTTAATTCTTTTTTCAACCTTCCCTTCAATATTCTTGAAATATGGATAAGGCTGTTAAGACAAAGGGGAGATGTTCTCTATGTCGACTGGGTAAAAGACAAAAAGATAAAGCCTATGTGCTAGGAAACGTTTTGAAAGATTAGAGCTGTAGAAAGGGATGACGAGGAGTGAAGGTTTGGTGTCAGTTTCTAAGAACTTCCACCATGGTAAGCCAGGCTGAGTTGGTCCAAGATCAAGTAATAGATTAGCTGACATCTCAAAATCTGTCCTATCTCCACTTTCTATTTTTTCTCTGAGAGGAATAACACGATCTCAAGAATCTTCTACTGATAACCCAGTCTTTCAATCACCCTGCCTCCCAACCAAGGTAGTAAAGTGGAATCAAACCAGATGATGGAACAAAGCACATGAAATGAGTATATCATAGATTAGTGCAGAAAACCCAGCAGAGAGATTGTTATGCATTAGAATTTAGAAATCTTACGTTTTATCCTGGCAGGTTAGACTAAAGCCAAAAAGGATCTTTGCACCTTGATGTCACTCACCAGAGGTGTTTTGGAGAAGTCCCAAAAAAGCAGAATTTAGCCTACAAATTAAACAGCAAATGCAACCTTATCTGGGCTGAGTCCTGCTATGCCAGCAGAATGTGGCCAAACCCTGGGTAAGGACATAAGTTTATTGAACTTCTTAATGAAGAGAACCCCCCAGTTATGTTACAGTTATACTAAAACAAATAATTTGTTGTAATTACAGAGATAATGACATGCTGACCACACCTACCAATTAGAAAGTTGTAATAAAGAGTAATAAAATACCTTTTCCTTGGGCTGCAGAATCAACCCCCACACAGCCCATGACACTAATATGATTTACTCCTATTTGCTGATGGAGGATTCTTGTAATAAAATTTAATGTGGAGGAACAAGGTGCATTTAACTAAAGCTGTAAACATACCTAATTCTATTTAAAGCTATAGGGTGCAGTACATTAGCATTTAACAATCTAATCCTAAATTGGTGTCAAGCTAATAGAGCAGTATTTGTTAAAATTACAGGACTAGACCACGTTTTACCAATGACAACAGAAGGAGTAACCAAAATAGTATGACTCAGCAGACTCTGGCTGCTGCTTAATAAGGTATTAAGAGTCTTCATGGGAGGTCCTGCCATAAAAGAACGGTGGACTGCCTTCAGCTCCACTGCTGTTCTCCTGAAGCCAGAGAGAGTTAGGCCAGGGACTAATTTGTCCTTGCAGTTCCCTCTTAGAAGGAGCTAAATCCATTGCAATTCTCACACTAAAGCATGTTATACTCAGTGAAATTTTATTCTCTGTAGTCTTTCAAGTGAATTGCTTTGATACTTAAAGATGTGCAATTAATTGCAAGGTTTCTTTCTCCAATGATATGATCTGACATTATTACATCTAGGTGAGCATTGTGTAAGAAAAGGCATAGGAAGTGTCTGCTCAGGAAGATAGGTGTTCTCCCAAGTAATATTTCTGGCCTTATTTCACTCAGCTGGTCTTCTGCCTTTCAGGATCTTGCTGTCATCAAGTTGTTTACAAATGGAAAACATTTTAAAAGCCTGGAGTTTTCCGTATAATGAAGAATTCAATTCCAAATACTGGGATTTTCTAAATGCTGAGTAAGAGATAAAGACATATCCTTGAATCATTCTCTAGGAAGCAATAAATCCTACACAGACTGAAAGAATATATCTTACAAAAAAAGTTAATTTATTCAGCTTAATTAACTATTATTTTGGGGAATTAGATATCAAACATAAACAAGAATATACAGGATATTAATACATAAAGAATGGTGTTAATTAACGTGCTGGGTATCAATATACAGTATTCTTCTGAACAATGGGCACAATGACCAGTTGTATGTAAAAGAAATGTTTATAACCAAACTTGAAAGTTTTCACAACTAAGTGGTTAAATCACTTATGTGTTAGCACTTTATTTGTAATTCCAAAGGAACAACTAATAAATTCTATACCTTTTAAAGGCCTTTTGAACAGCTGTCTGTATAAATGTCCTCTCTAAATAGTCAGTCAAACTCTGGCTGTTCCAAAACTGATCCCTGATTGTTGGATCACTCTTTAGCACCAGTTTGGTTTTGGTCAGTGAGTTGATTGCTGTTGTCACTGAAAGTCCAACACCCAATCAGAGAACAAGGAAAGATACCATGCCCTTTTGGTGGGTGATTAACTTCTGAGATAATGAAAATGTGAAACAAACACTTTCTTGACAGCTCACAAATGCAAGCATTAAAAATGCAAATAAGCATTAGCAAGCCTATTGATAAAAGCTGGCCTTAGTTTGGAAAGAACTGTTTTGATGAAGGACTAGAACTGGAATTAGTACTGTACATAATGGTCAGCCTGAAAGCTTTTCTTAAATTCTCTTTCATAGAAGAGATTTTTATCTAATGTGGAAGCAGGTGACTGAGTTTTATATTTACAGATCCTGGCTAAACAGTATCAGATTACGTGTGCTGTCTAATCTCTACCTCTGTTCAAAACAGTTAAAAAGCAGTTTATACAAACTCACTTATTTTGGTGACACCCTCCAGAAAGCAGTGATGTGCTCTCTCCCTTGGTTGCATGTCTCCATCCTTGCACTGTTGCCCCTGCCCTCCTCTCCTGCACTCCCAATGCAGTAACAGGAACACAGGAATGAGTGTTCCTGAGATGATTCCCAGCAGTGCTGTGAGCCCTGGTGCGAAGTTGTTCTATCACTAAAAATGACCTGTAAGGGAGGAAGCAGATTGGACCACCCTATTAGGATTCCAAAACCCAAGGCCTAAAAGTGCTACTCCAAAATACTGCTGAATGAGTGGCCTGTCAGAGGGCTCCACCCCAGACCTGGGGAAGACCTGGCACATGCCAAGTATCAGATCTCCATGACCTCATGATGAGCTAAAGAGCCCACACTTTTACCCCTCCATGAACTCTGCAGTTACTCAAGGGCTTAAGTTTCCCAAGGGCTGAAAGGTATTGGATATCAAACTTTCCCTGAGCTCTGGTGAAATTTGGGTGTTGGAGATACATGAGCTTGAAAACATCAGTCCAGCTATGCTTTGTGACTGAAATGCCCAGGATGCTCATCTTCCATGACTGTATATCAAAGGAAAATGAAGAATGCCTTCTCAGTTATCAAGAGGTAAACAAAGAGAAAGGTTATTTTGTGTCCTCTCATGAGCTCTGGTCTTTCCAAAGAAATAGGTCCAAAGTGAGTCAGCAGGGTGTTATAGAGTCTGCTCCATACTAAAGGAAAAACTCTGTGATTTTTCCTCTAAATCAGCAACTCAGTAATGCAGGCCACAGGAACAACCCTTTGCAGGTTTGGGAGCACCAAACTAAACCAAGGCCAAAAGCAATGTCCTGCTTCTGCCAGTCTTTTACTCACTATCACATTTTTCCTATTCCCAATCAGAATTAAAGAAGATCAAATCCTGGAAAATGTTCCCAGCCTATAAATATTCTTCCTTAAATCACTGGGGTTTATGTATAAGTGATTCCTTTGGATTATTTTGGAGTATTTTATTTCAAACACCTTACTATAAGTAACATAAGTTTTTTAAGACAATGTCATTTAGGAATGAAATTTGAAAACATAGAAGACAAACCTTTTTAACTGTGGGTTTTTTTTTTTTTTTTTTGGGGGGGGGGAAGGGAGGGAAAGCTGAAAAAGTAATTTAAGCTTTTGGGAAAAAATGCATTAGTGGCCATTTTCCTAGCCAGTGGTCTTTGCCTTCAGAAGCAGGCTGATTGCTATGGACCCTGCCATTAGCCTTCCTGAGGCTTGTTAAGATGTTGATGTTTGCAGCTGGACTCTTCCCATTAACGTTAAAGAAGGAATAATGTTTAGTGTTAGAATTTCCCCAGGTGGAATTTCAGTCTGTTGACAACAGGGGGATAGAACTCTACAAAGGGTATCTCTGGGATATCACTTGTAGATCGGCTGCTTTTTCTATGATTACTTTTAACTACATTGTGTTTAAAAGTCTCATAGAAAAATAGAAGTACATGAATGGAAATAAAAAAATAAGGACATCTGATTTTTATAAATAAACAGTACAGCAAGAATTAAATAGAACACAGACATAAAACATTTATACAGGCATGAACTATTACAGCTTGTTCTCCTCAAAGAGTATCTGTGCGTAGACTGTCGTACTGGGAATGCCTTTGGTTTCTTGAATCGGCTTCATAAGTTCAAGTTCAGCATATGTTAAATTCTCCTCTGCAATTTTTGGCTAGAAAACAGAACCAAGAAATTAGTTATAATGTCATTACCACTCAATCTAGATATTCTCTAGAATGGGCTATAATTCTTCTTTCACGCATGCTAATTCTACCATGCTGCTAAGTTCTGTCTATGCTGTTAATCAGTTTACTCTGCATTACAGTTAGTTCATAGAAGATGAAATAAAAATAACTAACATTAAAAATAAGAAACAGGAATAAGTAGGCTTTTCAGGTTCATTTCTAATTTCTCCTTGTTTCAAAAACACTGAACATTTTGACAAGTCAAATATTGCAGATTTTAAAGATGTATGTTAGCCAAATGTTTAGCCTCCTTAATACTACATTTTCTGATTTTATTTTTGGCGGATTTCACAAGATATATGCCAGATTTGCTTCCCAGCTGTAAACCTTGGACCAGTTACATCTCTAATCACAGTCACTCTCAGTGCCTCTCAGTATGTTTCTTCACAGAACAAAAAACATAAAAAATATACAGAAAGCAGAAAAAAATTTATAGAATTACTGCCATTCCAATGGAATTTCACCCTTTTTGCCAAGTTCAGAGTTTAGAACAAAGGCCATACCACTAAAGCTGTCTGCTGTATTAGAGTCGTTGAGTTTTAGACTGAAAACTATAAAATTTATCTAAGAGAGGTGTCTATAAAAATGCACCAAGCAAATTTCACATGCATGGCAGAAGCTGCCTACTGCTATTGGGGACTTCACCCAGACTCAGGTGGCTTAGAGGAGGAAAATCTTGTCTTGCGCTCTTGTGCTTGACAGCTGCTCGCACTCAGCATTTCAGGTTGTTTCCCGGAGGGTTGAAAAGTTTATACTTTTCCAGCATTAATTTCACTTTCTCTGCAGGTCAGATCCTCAAATACTTTATCCATTTGCAGGGTTGACCCCCTGCAGGACTGGCATCTCTGCATTTCATTATTCACATGGTCTTCCCTCCCTCCTCCCCTCGCATAGGTAGTCCTGTTTGAACTCAGCTTCTGGTTCTCAGTCACGATTAAATGTTCCACTGTTGACAACACAGAAAATTTCCTGCTTTCATTGAATTCTCTGACGTAATAACATAAAAGGAATTCCTGTGGATCCCAGACAGATCTTGACTGTAACAGAAATAAAATCACACATATCTTTTCATTGTTAGTGTATTAGGGCTGAACTGAACCACAGTGTTTAGAAAGACATCTGCCCTATCCTGGCCTTGGCTTAAAGAGTTAGAAAAAACTCTTGGTCAGCTGCTGTGATGCTTAATTAATTTTTAAATTCCCTCTTCTTTCTATCCTGACAGTATTAGCCTGAGTTTCCAGGTATTTTAATTGTTTTTTTTGCTTTTTTGTATGTTAAAGATTCCTTTTGAGATTTCAAAACTATATATGCCCATCTATTCAGTAGGTAGTACAGAGGCCAAATGCAGGAGTTGATTTTATTCTCAGTGTATGATCTAGTTTCATCACACATCTAGTTTCTGTGTGATGGTACTGGGAGTTTTGCTGCCAGCCTCAGTGGGTGTCACATCAGACCCTCAATATATAATGATACACTGCATATGAAAAGCCACTTAAAAATGAATGTGATAAAACTTTACAAACTCTTGGTCGCTGCCAGAGTAAAACTCTACATTTCTAAGACTGACAAAGAGCATCTGTTGAGGTAGAAATGTTTTCATTGCTCTGTAGGAATCAGTTTCTCAGGGCAAGCCAAACCTGTATATGCTTTCCCCTTTGCTGTTTAATCATATTTTTTACGCTTCCATTTAGAAAATGCTGCAGGTCCTAAAATAGCCACCCCAACGCCCAGCTCATGTAAATTTTAGAAGTAAGATTTATGAAATCATATTGTCCAGGTGTTTTATTATATTATCTCAAAATTGCATTGTTTTCCAGTGTAGATTATCTCTTTATTCTTACTTTATTCTATTATGTTTGGATATGAAAAATAACACTAGATTCCCCAAAACAAGTCATTGGGCAGTAGTGGCTGATGTGTTGCTTTCATACATTTTTATGATGTTCCTATAGTAAACATAATTTAATAAAGCCAAAACACACTAAATAAATAATTGCATCTAGAAAAGCAATAAAACCAAATAAAATTAGTACTTTCATAAGTGGAAAAGGTACTTCAATTACTGCTACAAGCAACAGCACACCATAAAATGTGTAGAATAATTTCCCTTATGCATATTTCTAGTATGTAATAATTTGATTGAAAATATGAGGAAACACACAGGAGGTTCAAAATTGTGAAAGGTATATAGTTTTCAGCAAAGGATGTGTAATAACAGTGCATGGAAGCCAACACTACTCTAAGTACCTATGGTAGCCAGGGTTTTATTCCATACGCTCTTCTGCACTTCATTTATCAACCACACGTTTAATTTAATTTTGCTGGTTTGTTTGTCCAAAACCAATTTTTTTTTTGAGCAGACAGGGAAAGAAAACTAATTCTACCATTTCATCTCTCATTTGGACTGGATTGTGTTTTGGCAGTGTAAACCTGGAACCATGCCACCACCTCCTTTTTGGAACAATTGTGTGACTTTAATAACTGATCTTATAGGTGAGACGGATGGTAGGGCAGAAGAGGAAGAGACAGTGAATGACTGGCCATTTGCCCCTCTCTTTCTGTCCTGGCTCTTCACCTAGGAGGTCATTGGGATTTCCATGGCTACAACATCCTTTTCTAAAAAATTACATCGTTTTTCTAAAATAACACTGAAACAATTTCTCCAAATAGAATTCTGTTCCAATGTGGCACTCCTAGATACAGTATTTATCTTGTATGTCTGTTTTCTCATCTTGGGATCACACGCTTTGCCGCAATTAGGAAGAGTCATGATATTCCAGTGCATCTTTGGGCAAAATGATTCCTCTTCCAGATTTCTTCCATTTTAATTTTAGTTCATTCCAGTCACAGGGCTTCTCATGGGCAACTATTCAAAAGAGTTCACTTACAGGAACATTTTACTTATTGAACTATCTGCAAGGTTTATCATGTGAATATTTAAAAGAAACTAAAGCATGTATATATATAGTTTTGTTTTTATTGGGTTTGTCTATTTTGTGTTAGAGGTTAATTAGAAGGGTTGGGTTTTTAATCAAAATTATTCTGATTTTTATGTCAGAAAGGAATGTCAATTGTGCTCTTCCTAGGCTTAGCTAGTTTGTTTCTTGGCAGCCTCAAGGATATTTATTGTTTTAACTAAGAGTATTTTATCCAGATTTGTAATTAGTTATGAAGAAAAAAGGCAAATAATAACCTCATAAATTTAACTTGTCGGGAAAAACAACTGATACCAACTTGTTCCAGATTGCTGCAACCTCACTGTTCCATGACTACACCAGTTATCATAAAGATGACAAAAAAAAAAAAAGTGAATTTCTAATTATAAAAGAAAAAATCCTTGATTCTACTTTACTATCAGAAACAAGCAGAAAAGGCCTGACTTCCCAGTTCCTTTCAATCTTAAATGTTTTAGAGACTATCGCTGCAGACATTTGCCTTCAAATTCAGTGTCTATATAATTAATTACTTCCAATGCAGTTTTTGTTTGGGATATGATACAGAATGACTTTTACACAGGACCAGGAAAAAAACCAACCAACCAACCAAAAAAAAACTATTGATGAAATGGAATTTTCAGCTCTGAGTTTTCTGGATTTAACAAGTATCTGTCCCAAATTGTGTCCCTGCCCATGGCAGGGCGCTTGGAACTAAAGATGATCTTTGAAGTCCCTTCCAACCCAAGCCATTCTGTGATTCTATGAAATTCCAGTTAGAGCCTCACGGTACTTTTAGTAACTCCAGTTTCCTGCAGCAACACTTGAAAATGAAACTCCACCCTCACTGGCATGCCCTGCACTCATGGGTGAACGAGTTAGGTCACCAAGGATAAACCCTGACAATTCTGCATATGTGTGCTGGTGTGATTGCCAGTACATGGCAAATTGCCACCTATGGCCTGGCCATAATGTTGAGTGCACACTGCCGTGCCAGGGGATGCTGTAGGAAGTGCAAATGAAGAAGCTACAGAGTTATAGAGTCAAGAGGTGGTGCTAAGGCTTGTTTGATAAATTTCTCCAGAAATTGCACTTCTCTCCAGGTTAAACCACTGCACAAAGAAAGCAGCCTTGCCCCAGTGCCATTAAGTAGCTCTTTCTTAGCAAGCACATCCTTGAACTATGATTTTTTTTCTCTCCGTTTCTATTGCCAAAGCCAAACTTGAATCTTTGGCCTTCTTCCTTTCATGTTCGAGAAACATCCTGTTTTGTAGTCAGTCGGTAAAGAGCTCCACAGAAAAAATGCAGATACTGTCCAGATGGCACAGCTCAGGATCATCCTGTGTCACAGCCTGGACACTCTTCATCAGAAAGTGTCTAGACAGGACTCTCCAGGCTAACTCTGCATGGGCTCTGACCACAGGGACTGAGTGCTGATTCTCTCTGTCTGAATACCCACAAGGGAGGAAACTGCATGCTGTATGCACCCTAAGGAAAAGGGGGTAGCCCATCTTCTCCTCTGCATATCTCCTTTTCAAAAGCATCTGTATTTTGAAGCTGTGGGAGGGAATGGCATATGGCTGCCAACTTGGCCATCACTGGAGGGTCAGTCATGGAGGTGAAGGTGAGGGTGGATTGAAATAAAGATCCAGCATGTTTGGTGGACAGGCTGAGCCACCAGGACCAGGGGAGAGAGCACGTGCTGGCAGGGGGGTTAGGCACTGTAGCTTCAGAGACAAAAGCATTAACCTTTGACTGTCCTATTTTTAAATATACACTGGAAAACCACTCTATAATCTGTAGTCTTTCTTGTGCTGAAATCAGTAGTGTTCCTGAGGGCCATAGATAGACTTTATGCTCAGATCCTATGAACTTCAGTGGGATGACCCCCTCATTAAGGTAACATCTTAACTCAGGAGTCAGAAAGAGATTTTCTTTTTTTTTTTTCATCTTCAGCTGTTTACCAATGTCAGTGACTTGACTGCATCAGAAAG